ATTAGCCCCCTTCTTGTTCAAAATTGTATATTACTCGCTTAAGTGACTTAGCACTTACAAATATTTAAGTAGCAACTACTTGTTTACAATCTGATGATTTTCCTTACAAATATTAACTTAGAATATTTTTGAGAGAAACGCATTTAACAGATTTTTTGGAAGGATCATCTGATTATTCCTTGATTCTTTAGCCTTTTCAGAAATTAAATCAATTTTCAATTCAAACACCTTCTTCTGTTAATTCATAAAAAATTGGAATTTTAATGTAAGTACTTGATAGTAGAGGATCAATTACTTAACTTTCTGAGAGGATCATAACAAAACCTGCTAAATTAAATTGTTCTATAATATAATTTGAAAATCTGAGTTTATAAAGCAAAATTTTATTGTTGTTTGAAGCCTTGAATCAAAAATGTGATTAAATTCATCATAATATTTATCTTAATTTACTCAAATAATAAATCCTGACAGACTCAAATGATAACATCCTTAAATTTTAGGCAATAAAAATATATAAAGAATTGTTAATTACAACAAAATCCAATTAGACATAAAATAGAATATTAAATGAAGAGACTCAAAAATATTGTTATGATATAAATTCAACCCATTTATTTATTACTGCAATTTCAACAGAATAAGAATAAAATTTAACCAAAAAAATTGAAGAATTTAAACAAAATATTAATAATTTAGACGAAACTCTTAAGAATTTTATTGGAATGAAAAATGAAATTCAAGAAGAGTTTAATGAGAATTATTTCATTTGGAATGAAGAGCTTTCTCAATAATAATAAAACTGTGAAGAAGGTTTAATAACTTTATTATACTATATTGATGAGATTTATTTGGATATTTCTGGACTAAATGCTAAAAATGAAACTATTTACCAAAGTATTGCTGAGTTATTGAAACGTATCAATGTAATTGTAGATTAAATATAAAATACAATTTTGGTGAACTCTAAACCTTTAGCTATTGTTGGGAATGAAATTATTTGGCAGATTAAAAGAAAAACAAAATAATATTTTAATGAATATTTTAATATTGAATCATCCTAAGAAGACTATTTAGTTGATTTTGTTTAATTTGAATAAACATATATTAAATCAAATCCGCTAAAATTTTCATCAGATATAGAAAGTCAACTTTAAAACTAATTTAATGACTCAACTTTAATAGTTTATCCAGAAAACTACTACTAATTTTAATTAAAAAATGCATATAATAGCAGATTTATTTCATATGAAAATTTTTCATCATTTTATAACTCGAAATTTTTTACGTATAACGTGTGTTCAAATAATACTTAGCCATTATAAGAATATGAAATCTAGTGTGTAATGAGGACATTATCTAAAAAATTTAATTAATGTATACTGAGTAAAGATAAAAAGAATGACACTTTTGAATTTAATTGTCAATGTTAGAATATAGGTGATATTTTCCTAACTGCATCAACAAATTTTAGTAAAGTAGACTCTATGAATTAAGAAATAGTTTATATTAATGTTGATTAAAATATTCAAGATTTACTAGTATTAAGAATTTGTACAAGTTCTTTAACACTAATATTTATTATACTTTATATTTATCAATTAAAAGAAGATTGTTAAGACCAGGAAAAACAATTGTAAACTGAAGAAGGGAACTTGTAAGATCAAGATAAAAATCTTATTTATTCAGGTAATACTAAAATATTCAAATAAAAATTAAAGGTAATTTTTAAATATTATTATTAGTAAATACATCAAACTATATCTTTATTTTATTATAAAGAAAAAACCATTCGACTAAGCTATAGGATTTTAGAAGTTCTCTCTTAGTCAAATTTATTACTAACCCTAGCTATTATAGAATGTTACTTGTAAGAAAATTATATTCTTTAAATTTGTTTATTTGCAATAGCGAATCCAATTGTAATTTTGATTTTGAGAATACTTTATAAGATATTGGAATCAATCTATATGTTTGGAAAAATTGCAGCTGCCATCAGTCATTTGATTCTTGTAATTTTTTTGATATTGCCGGTCTCTATTTTATATCTTTTATAATTATTGAAGTATTTTATTAGATTAATTTAGTTTATCTATGCAATCCGAATAATATGAGGTTTTTATTATATTTGGAGGGAATATAATAATTTCATAAATCCTTATAGAACCGTTTACAATATATGCCAGAATAATAATTTATAGGTTGATTGCGCGTAGTATATAAAACATGGAACTTAACCCCGTCTATCATTTATTGCATTTTTTTGCCATGCATAGCATTTTAGAAGATAATTTTGAAGATTTTACAAGAATATGAAAAAGTTAATTTATAAATATTATAAATTATTAAAATAATTTAATAATAACCTATAAAGGGAAGTTTTCACAATTTATTCATAAATATTTTCCAAATCTATTAAGGTAGATTATTTTTAAATTATATTAAATAATCATTACTTAATCCTTATGCTTGCTGCTTGGGCAACACTTGTTTTAAGTTTGATTTGGCTGTCAAATAAAAATGTAAATCAAAATGTAATGTCGGCTGAAAAATGGTATTGGAAAAAATTATTTCTCTTATATTAACAGCTGGGCTTTGTGCATTAGAAAAAGTTTTCTCAGCAGTCAAATAATAATAGATAATCTAAATAAACATTTTAACCTTTTTTTCAAATTTGGTTTTATTTCTTGTAAAAAATTTACCTATATTTATAAACTAAGTTGCTTGAATCGATATATGGTCCATAAAAGGATATTTTATATTTAATCAAATAGTTGGATAATAATTTAATCAGGTGTCATATATCTAACATAATAGAAATTAAAACTAATTCTTGGAATGTATCTTCTATAAAAGATGGGCATCTAAAATTCTAGAAATAAAATTAAGACCTATTAATTCATATAAGAAATAAGTTGTTGGACTTATTTCTCCTAAATATTTACTTTAATAATAATAAAGATTTCAAAACTCACTTAAA